AACCAGACAATATACTCTACATCTTGGGAAAATAAATCCAGTCAGCTTTATGTACCATCAACACCAAATGTTATCTTTAATTTAGAACATGTGAATACTTTGAGATCAGAAAGGTTCAGAATTCATGTAAGACAGCACAGTTGAAAAATACATGGCACATGGAAATCAAGAGAGGGTGGTCTATGGATATAGGTGGGATGGCCTGAAATAAGCTGAGGGGTGGGATTAAAAACTCACGATCTGTAACAGTTAGGACTGAAAACACCATATATCATTTATACTGTATGTCTGAATCCATTTAAGGTGTAAATTGAACTATATTTTGTCATGTAACGCTGTGTATAGAAGTGCTGTGTGTGAAATGTATGAATAATGTATACTGTATGTAACAAAATAGCTGGAAAAAACGAATGTAAAACAAAGTTACTTTTGTCCTCTGAAGAGAATGGGCCAATAAGACATTTTAAAATAAATACAAAATATTATCATGCATTTAGATGATACATTTTCATATCTTACACCTAAAAGTCTAAGATGTCAAGTAGTTTCAATTAATGGAATATACTTGATGATATGAGTGTGGCCTGTCCTTATTTACTGTAGCCTAGCGGTATGTTTTGTAATTGTAGAATACAGAAGACCAGTCGGAGCACAGTGAAGCAGAACTGGGTTCTGACTGTAACAGTGGAGTCCAGCACTCCTTTCCTCCCGCCAAGAAGCTGTCAGTCAGCCTGACAAATTGCAAGAAAAGGGATTGGATTTCTCAGAGTAAGTGCATGTTTTATTAGAGCTCTGTGCAATGTTCCCTCTAATTTTCTTTGGCACTGAGCAAATTTCAGGTCTGCTAAGCGCAAACTTGAACATTGTGAAAATTCTGTGCAACTTCCAGTGCGCGTTTACTGTAAACACTGAGGCTGTACCCGCTTTGAGTTACAGTTTCAGACAGTGGTCATGTAGGCTACTGTGGTAAACAGTCCCGTTCAAAATGAATGGCACAGAGTCATATATGGCAGTGGTTTATTTGCATATAGGCCTACTGCAGCTCTGATGCACCTGTGTGTGTCAGTGCAATAGAATCCTACTCCAAATCGTTCTGCCTACAACAAAATATCTTGCATAGTTAGTTTTGCATACTAAGTCTTGCATAGTTCATTTTGTTTTGGTATGTTGCATTGAAAGTGGCTAATATTGCGTTGATTCCCACAGTAAAGGGAAATGTTGACAGTGTTAACAAAGGGGAAAAACTCTAGAAAGTTAAGTTCAATCTTGTGCTTCTCTGCGCGTGCTGATACTTCTTCTGCGCGGCAGTCCCGGGGAGCTGCTCACAGCTTAGAGGGAACATTGGATCTGTGTACTTTAAGGTTATTTTCAAAATATACAGCATACGGTAATATTCCACAGCCACACAATTCTGGAATTACAAATTGATTCATAGCTATGTCATAAACCCAGGTTTTTGCTGAAATGCTCTGCATGTGTTTGGTTGATATGTGTGGCTGTTCTATCTATTGTTACCCCAGTCTTTCTCATTTAAACAGGAGAAAGACCAAACCCTCACTCTGCCTCAGGAGAAGCCAAACAACATCAGAAAACCAAAGCCAAGAAACCGATCAACTGCTCTCAATGTGGGAAGAGATTTGTATGTTTATCATTCCTGTAAAGACACGAGCGTATACATACAGGAGACAGCCCTTAACGCTGCTCTGACTGTGGAAAGCGTTTCAAAACATCAGGTGTATTAAAAGTACACGAGTTCATTCGGGAGAAAAACCTTACCACTGCTCCGACTGTAAGAAGAGATTCTCTCAAGCAGGAAATTTGGAGAAGCATCAGTGAGTACATACTGGAGAGAAACCATATTACTGTTCTGACTGTGGGCATAGATTTGCTCGATTAGCACATTTAACAAGACACCAGAGGATACATACTAGGGAGAAACCTTATCACTGAATGTGGGAAGAATTTCAGAGCAATGAGTGCTCTAAAATCACATCAGATGTTACATACAGGAGAGAAGAGGTATGGCTGCTCTGACTGTTGGAAAAGGTTTGTTACCTCAGGAGAGCTAATCAGTCACAAGCGCATACACACTGAAGAAAAACCTCATCACTGTTCTGACTGTGAGAAATAATTATCTCAGCCCAGTAACTTAAAATCACACCAGCATATACACACAGGAGGAAAAACCCCACTACTGCTCTGACTGTGGGAAGAAATTCTCACATCTCACTGAATTACAATCACACCAGAGGATACACACTGGAGATAAGCTGGTAGAGCACGGCGCTTGTAACGCCAAGGTAGTGGGTTCGATCCCCGGGACCACCCATATACAAAACATTTATGCACGCATGACTGTAAGTCGCTTTGGATAAAAGCGTCTGCTAAATGGCATATTTAATTATTATATTATATTATATTATATTATTATAAGCCATACCACTGCTCTGACTGTGGGAAGTGTTTTGCCAACTCTACAGGTTTAAGATCACATCAGAAAATACACACCGGAGAGAAGCCCTATCATTGCTCAGAGTGTGGGATGTGTTTTGCAGCCTAAAGTGTATTAGTAGTACATAAGCGAGTTCATACTTTAGAGAAACATTACCACTGCGCTGGGTGTGGGTTGGGATTCTCAATTAGGAAATTTTAAAAAACACCAGAAGTTGCATACTAGAGAGAAGCAATAGTCCTGCCCTGATTGTGGGAAATACTTCACTACGTTGCAATATCTTACTCTTCATCGTAGAACACATACAGCAGAGAAGCCCTACCACTGCTCTGACTGTGGGATGGGTTTCGCTTTCGCATCAAACTTCAAAGTGCATCAACAAAACATACACAGTGTATGAGAGTTGAGTGAAGTTATCGAAATCCAAACCATGGATATCCTTGACAAGAGCAGTAAAGTCCCAACTTTATGCTTGTGTAATACACTTTACACTTGAGGTAATGAGACATATTCAAAGATCACATACATAAAAGGGGAAAATAATTAATATTGGATACATTCCCTGAAAAATTAATATGCAGTATTGCTATCAGAGTGCATTTTCTGGTACTTCTGAAGATCAAGAGAGCCATTAACAGTATTGTACCAGCCTCAGTATGCCTAACTTGAAATTGATTCCTTTGACCATGTTTAGATTAACTTATTTTTTCTTCTGCTTCTTAAAAAAAAAAAATGTTATAATGAATTTGAATCAGTCTGTCATGTGCATTGTAATGTTATGTATTACTATTGAATCCAGGGGTGAAAGTAGCTAACATTTCATACTGGTAGGGGACCTGTTTGTGCATGGAATTGTTTTATGGACCTAATTATAAAGACATGTCATTTAAAAGTATTACCTTTTAATGGTGCATGAACACAACCAGGCATGTTTTCATCTGATTGTCAAACAAATCACTTAAAAGTAGGCTATACCTGCGCACGGCTGATTGTTCGCCTGAGTTGATTGATGTGTCCGTATGCCTCTGTACCAGCCAGATTTCTGACTTCGCAAATTTGAGTGTTTACCTCAGACCATGGTTGGGGAGTAATGGATTACATCGTTACAAAAAAAAAACAGTATCTGGAATCCATCTGGAAAAATGCTCTCTTGCAACAGCTGCATAGTGTGGATCCAAGCCAATGGAATATAAGTGGGGCTTTTATTGCTCAATCTAACTCATGCTGATAAATATAAATAAATATCCATATGCCTAATGGACACATGCTCAAACTTGCACACTTTTGATAGACTTATAGTGGCAATCTGTAGTTGCTACATCCATTTTTGGATATATATACAGTACCAGTCAAAAGATGACACCCCTACTCATTCAAGGGTTTTTCTTTATTTGTACTATTTTCTACATTGTAGAATAATAGTGATGACAAAACTATGAAATAACACATAAGGAATCATGTAGTAACCAAAAAAGTGCTATAAAATTTTGATTTGTTTATTTTAGATTCTTCAAAGTAGCCACCTTTTGCCTTGATGATGGCTTTGCACACTCTTAGCAAAGCATGCCATTCCATGAGCGCAGCATTTATTTTTCAACTTGAATCAATGAGCCCAATCAGTCCTCCATGACAAGAAAATCATAAACAGAGTAGGGCTGGCTAATAAGTCCTTAGTTTTGGGGTCATGCTCAGGTAAAACAATTTGGCTAATCTATACTTCCATATTTCCAAGTCCTTTTCTTGAAGATCAAGGGGGTATAACATTTATTGGAATGATGGGAATTCTGATAGATTGGTTTTTAATGTAAATATATAATTGAATCGTATTATTATATATAGTAGAAAGCGATGGGTTAGAAGAAGCCTACATAACCAAACCATAAAGTACAATTTAACATCCATATGGCCAGCTATGTAAACTTGAACATTGATTTATCTTGCAATAGATGTCGTTCAATTGGTAACATACATTTGTCTTCTTCTAATGCCTCTTAAGGGGAAAGTAATCAGATTGTTACTGATTACAATTTTGGACAGGTAACCTACCCAACCCTGCCTCAGACCACACCGCACTGGAGCTATACCACCCGTTTTCTTTCCATCTTTGTTTTAATTATGATAGGCTCATGCTTTACCAGTATGCCATACCGGCACTTTATTTTGCCGGTAATCATCCCTGATTGAACCTGAATGGCACAACCAAAGGGTGATGATTGTAATAAAGATTGTTTGCTGTTTTCAATTCGGACGTCTGGTCGCTTCTTTCCTGGACTCTAACCATTCCAATATCCTGCATGCACATTCAAGTATTTAATGGACCTACGTCCATCAACACTATGCTTAAACAAATTGACATTTTAATATACCTTTGCAACACTCGTTGAAATAGTTCCTTTTGAGTCAACTACATCAAATATTAACTGTAGAGCCAAAATATAGGGAGGAAAGGCATGCAATACTAAGCATCAGAACACCAGTTGAAATAGACCAGGAACTGATTTTATGTGTAACTAAAATGACTGGTAAAGTGAGGAGTCAGACAAAATGCTGGTTTACTTCAGTAGTGTTGGTTTTATTCAGCCAAGTAGAGAAGACCTACAGCCCTAGGAGGAAAACAGAACAAGAACAGAACCTGCCCACCACACACACGGGCATGCTCAGTAAATCACAGAAGACACTGCAAAGTTGTGGAAAGGATCATTCCATCTTTGTGTGTGTGTGTATAGTACCCAAACACCCAATTTCTAACAAGCAGCAAGCACTACTTTGATCTCAACAATATAATTTTGCTACACATTACCTCCCAAAAAGAAAAGATCCTGCTAAACTATATTTGATTCCCGGAATATAGCACACACTCGTTCAAAGGAGGAATTTCTGAAACCATTTATAAGTGCTGATTCTCTTGAAACAAGGTAGGTTTCAGACAGTGCTTGGAAATTAAACAAGTATTGATCAGAGGAAGGACAAAACTTACAGAAGCATCCTTAATGCAGTCAAGCTTTTTGAGAGAAACAGGCATACACACACACTTCTCTTCTACTCTACTGAGCCATGACACAAACTGCACAACCGTTGGTGAGTTAGCTAAAGCAGAGGCACCATTATTTGACAATAAGTAAACTGTCTTTTTAAAGACTACAGTCACAGACAAGCAAGGGTCATCATTATTGGGCCATGCTGCAACGTTGGAAGGAAGACTGTTCTCCCCCCCCAAAAATCTGATTTTAAACACTAAACGTAACCTTAGACCTAACCCTAACTAAGCAAATTTTCACTGATTAACTAAATGTTGCAGCTAGCCAACTTTCACTTTGCAGCATGACCGTCTAGTGAAAACACCAGTAGAGTCACAAGTGCTGACGACCTGGGGTCAGGGGCTAAATGAGGTCACACATTAGATGACAGAGAACCGGATGCCATGTTTGTTGAGGCGCTCCACCAGCTTAGTTTTGGCAAAGGTTGCTCCTGGGGTGTACACACCTCCCCTAAAGAGAGAGAGACAGAGAGAGGGAGGGTGAGATAATATGCATCAGATGTAATACAATAGCTGCACAAACACTACCCAGTGTGTGTGTGAACTCACTTCTTGGGGAGGGCTTTGGGTTCGTTCAGGATGGTGATAGCTGCCTGTACCATGGCGATGGGCGTGGCCACGTAGCCCGCCTCTGAAACAGGGAGAGAAGCATTGTGTTAACCCCAGCAGTGGCAGATTACATGGAGGAGGGGTTAATAAAAAGTCAGATTAGTGTGTTTGTGGAGCAGAGGTTAGGGTGTTTGTGTGTGTTCAAGTACCTGGTCCTTGGACTAGTGTGCGGATCTTGGCATTAGGTCGTCCCTGGCTGGGGTCCTGTCCCTCAGTGTAGCCTTCTCCGTAGAATGCAAACTTGAAGGATGAACCCTCCATCTGAGTGGCACAGAAACACACCAATCACTGACTAGAAGGACCAACCCTCCATCTGAGTGACACACAAACACACCAATCACTGGCAATTTTGCAAACAAATGGAAGTGAAACATACCAGTAAATGTTACTCATACATTTTAACCATACACAGGTCAAGATACTCAAAAAACTGTACCTGCTTTCTTGTTGGTCCATCCTTGGAGAAGAAACCAAAGGAGAAAAACTCTGGATACTAAAGACAGAGAAGAGAGAGAGAGAGAAAAAAAAGAGGTAGAAAGAGAGAAGGGTTTGAGTTTTTCCTTTTGTGTGAGTGTGTGCATATACAGTACCAGTCAAAAGTTTGGCCACACCTACTCATTCAAGCGTTTTTTTTTTATATTTACTATTTTCCACATTGGAGAATAATAGCGAAGACATCAAAACTATGAAATAACACATATGGAATCATGTAGTAACCAAAAAAGTGTTAAACAAAATTAGATTCTTCAAAGTAGCCACCCTTTGCCTTGATGACAGCTTTGCACACTTGGCATTCTCTCAACCAGCTTCAACAGGAATGCTTTTCCAATAGTCTTGAAGGAGTTCCCACATATGCTGAGCACTTGTTGGATGCTTTTCCTTCACTCTGCGGTCCAACTCATCCCAAACCATCTCAAATTGGGTTGAGGTCAGGTGATTGTGGAGGCCAGGTCATCTGATGCAGCACTCCATCACTCTCCTTATTGGTCAAATAGCCCTTACACAGCCTGGAGGTGTGTTTTGGGTCACTGTCCTGTTGAAAAACAAATGATAGTCCCACTAAGCGCAAACCAGATGGGATGGCATATCGCTGCTGAATGCTGTGGTAACCATGCTGGTTAAATGTGCCTTGAATTCTAAATAAATCACAGACAGTGTCACCAGCAAAGCACCCCCACACCATCATACCCTCCATGCTTCACGGTGGGAACCACACATGCAGAGATCATCCGTTCACCTGCTCTGCGTCTCACAAAGACACGGCGGTTGGAACCAAAAATCTCATATTTGGACTTTCCACCTGTCTAATGTCCATTGCTCGTGTTTCTTGGCCCAAGCAAGTCTCTTCTTCTTATTGGTGTCCTTTAGTAGTGAAGGCCTGATTCATGCAGTCTCTTCTGAACAGTTGATGTTAAGATGTGTCTGTTACTTGAACTCTGTGAAGCATTTATTTGAGCTGCAATCTGAGGTGCAGTTAACTCTAATGAACTTATCCTCTGCAGCAGAGGTAACTCTGGGTCTTCCTTTGCTGTATCAGTCCTCATGAGAGCCAGTTTCATCATAGCGCTTGATGGTTTTTGCGACTGCACTTGAAGAAACCTTCAAAGTTCTTGACATTTTCTGGATTGACTGACCTTCATGTCTTAAAGTAACAATGGACTGTCGTTTCTCTTTGCAAATTTGAGCTGTTCTTGCCATAATATGGACTTGTCACAACACAACTGATTGGCTCAAATGCATTAAGGAAAGAAATTCCACAAATTAACTTAACAAGGCACACCTGTTAATTGAAATGCATTCCAGGTGACTGCCTCATGAAGCTGGTTGAGAGAATGCCAAGAGTGTGCAAAGCTGTCATCAAGGCAAAGGGTGGCTACTTTGAATAATTTGTTTAAACGTTTTTGGGTTACTGCAACCCAAAAACGTGTAGCTCAGTTGGTAGAGCATGGCGCTTGCAACGCCAGGGTTGTGGGTTCGATTCACACGGGGGGCCAGTATGAAAAAATTTATGCACTCACTAACTGTAAGTCGCTCTGGATAAGAGTGTCTGCTAAATGACAAAAAATGTAAAATGTGTTATTTCATAGTTTTGATGTCTTCACTATTATTTTACATTGTAGAAAATAGTAAAATTAAGAAAAACCCTGGAATGAGTAGGTGTGTCCAAACGTTTGACTGGTATTGTATAACAATGTGTGTCTGTCAGTGTGTCCTTGTTCACCTTAATCAGCAGGTCTTGTCCAAAGCTGAATTTGACCAGGAACCAGAACATCATCCCAGCGAATAGCATCTTGACAATGTTGGCCACACCTCCTACTCCTGCATACGCACCATACTGAACCTGGGGTCACACAAAGGTCAAACAGGGGTCACAGAGGTTCATTTCTCAACTGAGTTTGGACATTAGAGCCACATCACACTAAAATTGCAGATCGCCCAGAGAGAAAGAGCGAGCGAGGGGCTGAAGCTTATTAGCTAGGGGGCTGGCCCACAAGGAAGGAAATGCAGGGAAAATTTAGTGGCATAGCTTCAAGAAAACAGTCACTTTAAAACTAGGGAATTCGTGGCTAATTGAGGTAAAACAGTCATTCTGCTCATAGATTATCCTCTTAAATGTAACTACATGTAATCTAAAATGTAATCTACGTAATCCCCGAAAGTAATTATTTGAGACAATAACTATTCATGCTGCATACTCCAAGAAAGGTTAAAATCTCACCTTTCAGGTAGAAATAGTTATACAATTGCTGAGGACACAAGCTCAAGTACACAGTACAAATATAATAAACATATGAAAATATTTTACTGTACATTACATATTTCCTATTGAACAAAAATGTATAAGGCTTGAAAAGACAAATGCTTTCTAAATTTAGTATTATCAAATTATAAAACCACTAACTATAAGATTTACCTTCCTTATAACTATAAAATACATATTTGTATGTTTAGTGTTAGAGAACATGTGCATACTTTCGAAAGGTTTCTCGATGAAAACATCTGCCCCCATCGCTATGAACATCACAGCGCTATAGCTTGGCTTCCTGAACTCGTTAGGAACTCGCCTTTCATCTCATATTAATCTAGTCCATCTATGACAAACAAAGTGTTTTTTGTTTAAAATCGATGGATTATTTTAGATGAATGGCTACAAAATCCATCTTTGAATGTGCTGTAGTGATGAAACCACTCTCCCCTGCTGCACTACAATGTAAGGATTTCAGGCATGTGCTTGGTCAGTGGCTGTGACGTAGGGTTCAGCAAGGAGTTGATTGACTTTCGGAAGAGGGAATTAAATGGTAGGAGGGACATCCCAGCTTCAAGTGGTTTCAGATTTCACATCCTAAGTCACAAAGGTACAGAAAATATACTACTGTGTCCGTGGGAACCAGTGTTATCGCTCAATGCAAGACATTTTGAACTACGGTGTCCACAGATCAATTTATAAGCAAAAATGTCCGTCCGAACCGGTTACAGAACCACAATAGCTGTGATGCACACAGACACCCAAGATTTATTAGGACATATTCAATTTCTCGCATTTAGAAATTAGAACCACATCACACTAAAATTGCAGATTTGACAAGAACACACACTGCTCTGTGTTTGTGTGTGTGTGTGTGAGACCTACAGGTGTTTCCTGGTGTTCCTCCAGTAGAAAGCGTTGAGATCTCTTCACCACCGAGGGGTCGGCTCCCATAAACGGAACTGCATACTGCTGCACCTCATTACTGTAGAACAGGGCACTCCTACACACACGATAGAAAGTAAAGTTATTTAAATATCAAATAAACACATTTAATAAGCACAAACACACACAAACGCACACCCACAGCTCCCTGTACCTGCGTTTGATCTTTGAGCCCACCACAGGGAGAGGTTTGTGTCCAAACTTCTTCCTGAGGCTCCTCAGCTTCCCGCTGTCAGCAAAACCATAGATGGCCGACTTCCATGTACCATCATTGATAGAACCACCCTAAGACAGAGACAGAGAGAGAGAACTGAGTACCAACAAACCCTTAAAAACCGATTCTTAAAATCAAGATTGTTATGTTATTAGATACAAGAATTATGCAGGGGTTACAATGATTTACTCTTTACAGGACAAAGATGAGGCCGGGGCTGTGTGAGGGTTTATGGGTAATGGAGTCTTACCTCAGGTCCTGTGCTGGCTGTCAGGAAGCTCTCGATAGCTGTGAGTGTCCCTGTGATGAGAGAAACACACAACTGTGACACACAAACACACATACATAAACAGCTGAAGTAAACTAACCTCAGGGAGAGGTTAGATTGCAAAATAGTTGGGAAGAGATTTTCGATGCACCGATTCCATGGCACATGGTTTATTTACATTGACATTTTAGTCATTTAGCAGACGCTCTTATCCAGAGCGACTTACAGTTAGTAAGTGCATACATTTTTCATACTGCCCCTCGTGGGAATCGAACCCACAACCCTGGCGTTGCAAGCGCCATACTCTAGCAAAACAACGGCAGATTCAAAACTTTAAAAAGTTTTCAATTTAAATTATTATGCTAAATTCTTGCAACCAATAGAATGTTATATATATGGGGGATACAACCATCCCAGCTCTGCAGATTTTGTTGCGAAGAGACAGAATTATTAGATCATTTATTTTGGTACTGTCCATATGTAATTTAGCTTGGTTTTGGTCGCAGGTCCAGGAATGGCTGAAGAATTGCAACATTTACCAGGAGCTAACTCTGCAAATAGCAATGCTGGGTAATTTGAAAAGTCATAGTCAATCGATCAATAACACAATTATTTGCAAAAAGTATTATTATATCTTTAATTTACAATCTGTAAATTGGATTTAATGGTGCTCTGTGGGATGCTCAAAGTTTCTGATCTTTTTTTATAACCCAACCCTAATCCTGTACTCCACAACTTTGTCCCTGACCTGTTTGGAGAGCTCCATGGCCTTCATGGTGCCGCTTGCTTGGTGGTGCCCCTTGCTTAGTGGTGTTGCAGACTCTGGGGCCTTTCAGAACAGGTGTATATACTGAGATCATGTGACAGATAATGTGACACTTAGAGGCGACTCCGGGATGCTGACCTTCTAGGCAGAGTTGCAAAGAAAAAGCCATATCTCAGACTGGCCAATAAAAAGAAAAGATTAAAATGGGCAGTCTGAGATATGGCTTTTTCTTTGCAACTCTGCCTAGAAGGTCAGCATCCTGGAGTCGCCTCTTCACTATTGATGTTGAGACTGGTGCTTTGCGGGTACTATTTAATTAAGCTGCCAGTTGAGGACCTGTGAGGCACCTGTTTCTCAAACTAGACACTAATGTATTTGTGCTCTTGCTCAGTTGTGCACCGGGGCCTCCCACTCCTCTTTCTATTCTGGTTAGAGCCAGTTTGCGCTGTTCTGTGAAGGGAGTAGTACACAGCGTTGTACGAGATCTTCAGTTTCTTGGCAATTTCTCACATGGAATAGCCATCATTTCTCAGAAAGAATAGACTGACGAGTTTCAGAAGAAAGTTCTTTGTTTCTAGCCATTTTGAGCCTGTAATCGAACCCACAATTGCTGATGCTCCAGATACTCAACTAGTCTCAAGAAGGCCAGTTTAATTGCTTCTTTAATCAGCACAACAGTTTTCAGCTGTGCTAACATAATTGCAAAAAGGGTTTTCTAATGATCAATTAGCCTTTTAAAATGATAAACTTGGATTAGCAAACACAACGTGCCATTGGATCACAGGACTGGTGGTTGCTGATAATGGGCCTCTATACGCCTATGTAGATATTCCATAAAAAATCTGCAGTTTCCAGCTACAATAGCCATTTACAACATTAACAATGTCTACACTGTATTTCTGATCAATTTGATGTTATTTTAAAATGGACAAAAAAGGTGCATTTCTTTTGAAAACAAGGACATTTCTAAGTGACCCCAAACTTTTGAACGGTAGTGTGTGTGTATATATATATATACACATATACACACACACACACATACGGTACATATGGGGGATTGGAAATGATGCAGATATTTACATTGATGGAAGCTACAATCTATCTGCAATATTAAAGCTGATCTACTCCCTAAAAAATATATATGAAAAAACAAAATAAAAAAACCCTCAGGGAGAGGACACACATACACACCTTTGAACTGGTCCCTGGTGTAGAGGACTCCCATGTCTGCAGGTATGGAGTCGAAGCCACAAGCCCCAACAATGTACACTCCTTTATCAGCTGCCTGACTGTCGTAGTTCAACTGCATACTCTCTAGGAACTACACACACACACACACACACACACACTGTAACCAGTAATAGAGGACAGCATGGCATCCAGCATGCCTCCCATTTCACCTAGTGGTGTGTGTGTGAGAGATATTGCTTCCAACTATCAAGTCATGTCAGATCTACAAGAGTCATGGGTTGTAGGCGTCAGGGTCAATTAGGGATTGAAGCCTAGAGAGTGTGTTGTTGTGTTGTCCACTTACCTGGGGTTCTCCACAGATGTCAATGCAGTGTGCTCCGTTCTCCACGCATGCCTTTACCACAGGCTCGCCCCAGAACCTGTACTACACACACACACACACACACACACACACACACACAATTTAAATATGAACAAATATAAACAAAACCACTTAAAAAGATGAGAGAGGCCTGTAATTTTCATCATAGGTACACGTCAACTATGACAGACAAATTGAGAAAAAAAATCCAGAAAATCCCATTGTAGGATTTTTAATGAATTTATTTGCAAATTATGGTGGAAAATACGTATTTGGTCACCTACAAACAAGCAAGATTTCTGGCTCTCACAGACCTGTAACTTCTTCTTTAAGAGGCTCCTCTGTCCTCCACTCGTTACCTGTATTAATGGCACCTGTTTGAACTTGTTATCAGTATAAAAGACACCTGTCCACAACCTCAAACAGTCACACTCCAAACTCCACTATGGCCAAGACCAAAGAGCTGTCAAAGGACACCAGAAACAAAATTGTAGACCTGCACCAGGCTGGGAAGACTGAATCTGCAATAGGTAAGCAGCTTGGTTTGAAGAAATCAACTGTGGGAGCAATTATTAGGAAATGGAAGACATACAAGACCACTGATAATCTCCCTCGATCTGGGGCTCCACGCAAGATCTCACCACGTGGGGTCAAAATGATCACAAGAAATCCCAGAACCACACGGGGGGACCTAGTGAATGACCTGCAGAGAGCTGGGACCAAAGTAACAAAGCCTACCATCAGTAACACACTACGCCGCCAGGGACTCAAATCCTGCAGTGGCAGACGTGTCCCCCTGCTTAAGCCAGTACATGTCCAGGCCCGTCTGAAGTTGAGTGCATTTGGATGATCCAGAAGAGGATTGGGAGAATGTCATATGGTCAGATGAAACCAAAATATAACTTTTTGGTAAAAACTCAACTCGTCGTGTTTGGAGGACAAAGAATGCTGAGTTGCATCCAAAGAACACCATACCTACTGTGAAGCATGGGGGTGGAAACATCATGCTTTGGGGCTGTTTTTCTGCAAAGGGACCAGGACGACTGATCCGTGTAAAGGAAAGAATGAATGGGGCCATGTATCGTGAGATTTGAGTGAAAACCTCCTTCCATCAGCAAGGGCATTGAAGATGAAACGTGGCTGGGTCTTTCAGCATGACAATGATCCCAAACACACCGCCCGGGCAACGAAGGAGTGGCTTCGTAAGAAGCATTTCAAGGTCCTGGAGTGGCCTAGCCAGTCTCCAGATCTCAACCCCATAGAAAATCTTTGGAGGGAGTTGAAAGTCCGTGTTGCCCAGCGACAGCCCCAAAACATCACTGCTCTAGAGGAGATCTGCATGGAGGAATGGGCCAAAATACCAGCAACAGTGTGTGAAAACCTTGTGAAGACTTACAGAAAACGTTTGACCTGTGTCATTGCCAACAAGGGTATATAACAAAGTATTGAGAAACTTTTGTTATTGACCAAATACTTATTTTCCACCATAATTTGCAAATAAATTCATTAAAAATCCTTGTGATTTTCTGGATTTTCTTTCCTCATTTTGTCTGTCATAGTTGACGTGTACCTATGATGAAAATTACAGGCCTCTCTCATCTTTTTAAGTGGGAGAACTTGCACAATTGGTGGCTGACTAAATACTTTTTTTCCCCACTGTATGTACTGAGACATTATTGGTACCGATTTCTCATTTGCATTTAACAACCACAGTTGTTCTAAAAGATCATCACGATAGGGATCATATTGCATGGTGCAGTGATATTCTGACTTTCCTCTTTCTGCTTCTGGTATCTGAGCCTGAATAAACCTACCCCATTTCCTGACTACCCTATCTACTTCTGTCTCAATATCCCCTAACCAATAGACATTTGCTGTATCCTGTTTCGTTACCATTTGTAAGTTTAACCCTGCCTTGTCTATAATTACCCCTTCGGAGGAACATCAAATTTGTATACCCATTTTGCATAGGGCATCTCTTCCCAATAGATTGACAGGGGTGTGTTCTGATACAAGTATAGGGAGGGTTGCGGATTTGTCATCCGCTATCAGGCGAACTGGAGCTGTCATTGGAATTAACTGCGTTTGTCCCGAGAAAATTTGATTGTTACACAACAGGACAGTTAACACGCGCTGCCTGCTAATTATCTATAGGCTGTTTCAACTTGTCAATTTCAAATTATTTTCTAACAAGTTTTATTTTCAAACAACAGTTTGAATTGAGGTGTGTTCCGCCTCCTCATTAATTGACATAGAAGTAGACCATTTCAGTGTTGCAGACAATTTATGTTTGAGGCTTTACTGAGCCAGACAAACTGCTCTCTTTGAGGAGAGCCCAAGCACTTCCCTAGTGTTTCCGCAGATCAAGTTTGCAGGCATTTGCGCAGTCTTGCACGAACTGGCACATTTTCTGGCTGGCATTTACAGTTTTATTCACATGTTTTCAAGTACTGGTGACAGCTAATGCATTCCGATTATTGCATAGATTGTAATGGACACCTATGATGTGTGTAAAATACTTTTTTGAAGGTTTTACTGATTATAATGAGCTAATGCTAAGCTATTTGCCAGCTATGTGTGGCGCCATGTTTGTTGACATTATACAATGCATTCTGGGTGTCACGTAAACGTCTGTCAGACCAAAGATGATATACTGAGGTGAAGGAATGGTTCTCATCTTTCGAGTAAACTTCCGGAAGTGAATGATCCTAGATGACATGCCCTTCAACATGCATACTGTAAACAGACCAAACTCATCTTGTCTCCTCTTATTATCTTTGGTTGAAGCGAGAAAAAAAAAAAAAACATGACCTCCACCGCAGACTGGCTAATCTAGTATGAACCAAATACAGTTTGTTTTGGCTTTCCTTTCACGCCTTCCCTGAAACTCTCTGGTGCCCCCCTGGAGAGGCGTGCCACATTATGAAAACCTCTGGTATAAGTAATATGGTGAGACTTTCACCTAGCCTATCAGATGGCAAGGTGGAGCGATTACCATATTGATTGCCTGGCAAAGCCTCTCAGATCTGTGCATAGGGTCCAGAGGTCCATTTGGGATTGGGCCATGTCTGTTCTGAACAATACATTTCTATCTGAACGTTGTGTAACACAAAACTTACACATACAAACGACTACATCATACAAACATCACACCTGCCCAAACCCACTAGCCCCCACCCCAATCTCCAGCGCCTTTATAGCACTTTCTGCCACATGGCCTCAAACTGCATGATTTTGTTTCTCTCTGTCGCCCACGCGCTTAAAATGTTTAAATAATAAAGCATTTGACCTTTCCATTGTGAGAATGACGGAGGATTGGCTGATTTCCAGTTTGAGTATAGTTTTTTAAAAGATAATTGATGAGAAGAGTATTGTCCAACCCATTGAGTATTTCACTGCACCCTCATATGTCATGTCTTGAAATATACAGACAGACAAATTAAAAGTATATTTACATTACAGTATCTCTGACATCCATCTTTCCAACTCCGCCCATAACTTTTTAATTTTGTAGCATTCCCAGAAGGCATGAATTATTGAGTCATTAATTTTACACTTCAGACATGACTTGTGACGTTGCACTCTCCTGAACGCACCTCAGGAGACAGTTGAAAGTGTTTGGAGGAGGTAGGGAGTAGACAGAGAGAGAAGGATGCAACTGCAGCCCACAATTCGGGCCGTTCCTGCATGTGGGCATTCCTGTATACGCAGGAACCCCTCTTTATGCTTCTATTATTTAGCTATGACTCCAGTACATAGATGGGAGGCACACACTGTAATCTAGCTAGCACACAGGTGTCACCCCCCGCCTGCTGTGTACCGGAGTAACTAGCGGTAGGCGGTGTCCTATCAGGCAAGGTTTTCTCCAGGGCACAAGCAAGCTAGCTAGTTAGCACACAGTGTTGCTCCCGCCTGCTGTGCTAGCGGGAGGCGGGGGCGACCGGTATACATTGTCCTTGGCCCCCGCCTGTCCGGCACGTTTTTCTCCGGTACGCAGTCGGCGGGAGCAACACTGTGGGGAGCAACACTGTGTGATAGCTAGCTAACTAGCAAGGTAGCACACGGTGTCACTAACTAGCAAGCTAGCTACGTAGTTAGCAACGGTGTTGCTCCAGCCTCCCGCCTGCTATACTAGTGGGAGGCGGGGGTGACCGATAGACAGTGTCCTTCGCCCCCACCTGTCGGGCAATGTTTTCCCGCGAAAACTCAGATAATTATTTTACTTCCCCTTTGACCCACATTCAAAAGTGTCACACAAGCATTATGGTGTCGTGCTCGAGGGGGGGTGGGGCGTTCATGAAGGAACCAATGGGGTGCTCGAGGGGGGGGACGTTCCTGCAGATGCAGGAATGCCCACATGCAGGAACACCCCGAATTGCAGGCTGCAGTTGCACACTATTGGACAGAGAGGCTGAGAGGTGATGATCAGACATGACAACAGTGCCCCCCTACTGGTGGAGTTGGTAATAGACAACACTTTTTTCACTTCATCCAGAGTTCTTTGGTGAGGCTGTGTATCACAATGACAGAGATTATACCACACCCAGTCACGCCTGCCAACACTGTAAAGGCTGTGTGTGTGTGTGCGTGTGTACAAGGTGCACTGGTGATAGCCACCATCATCATTGCAGGTGTTTCACAAGCTGTGAGGTTATGGCCTTACTGCTATCAGGCCACTATCTGCAGCCCCATGGCACAACAGGAGAGCAGAGTGGTGATCAGGACTGATATCAAGACAGTCTTATATACTAACACCAGTAGAATGAAATACCGCTGACTTATGACAGACTCATTGTGTCTCAGCAGTACTTACAGTGTGTGTGTGTCTACAGTATTTTCCAGATGTGTGTGTGTGTGGCATCTCCACAGTCAGTACTTACTGGCCCCACACAGTTGAGAACAATGACAGCCTGTTTGCACATGGCAGCCAGCGAGTCAGGCTCTCCCACATCAGCCACGATGACATCCACCGCAGTCCTCAGCTCCGGCTTACCTAATACACACAGCAGAGGACTCAGTCATTTCACCTTTATATTATAAACATCTACTTACCAATACACCAGACATCATTATTTGTTTAACTACATCACCGAGGACTTGTCATGGACCAACACCACCACGACTGGGCGCAACAGCGTCTCTACTTCTTAAGGCAGGTGAAGAAATTCGGCATGCCACCCCGGGTCCTCTCCAAATACTACCGCTGCACCATCAAGAGCGTCCTGACCGGTTGCATCACGGCCTGGTACGGGAATTGCTCCATCCACGACAGCAAGGCCCTCCAGCGGGTGGTGAAGATGGCCCAGTACATCACTGGGACCGTGCTCCCACCCATCCTTGAAATGATGCCTGAGGAAGGCCCGCAGCATCATCAAGGACCCCACACACCTCCGCCACGGCTGTTCAATCTCTTATCGTCGGGCAAACAGTATCGGAGCATGAGGTCTGATACCAAAAGGCTCAGAGACAGTTTCTAACTACAAGCCATCAGACTGCTGAACACTTGAACTGACTCTCTGCACCTTATCACACATGCACTCATGTACACACACACACACACACACACACACAGAGATATACAATCATATACACACAAACACACACACACACACATCAAAACTGCTGCTACCAGACTCTTATTATGATTGATTGCTAAATACTTCCCCAACATATCTGTAAATATTGGACTATAAATTGTGCCTTCCTGTATTATACTTATGCTAAAATGTTTACTCTATTCTACTGAGCCATTTACTTTATGTTCATATTCTTATATTTTCTTATTGTTGTTACATTGTCGAGAAGGAACCTCGCTTGGAAAATAAATACATTTACATTTTAGTCATTTAGCAGACGCTCTTATCCAGAGTGACTTACAGGAGCAATTAGGGTTAAGTGCCTTGCTCAAGGGCACATCGACAGATTTTTCACCTAGTCGGCTCGGGGATTAGAACCAGCGACCTTTCGGTTACTGGCACAACGCTCTTAACCACTAAGCTACCTGCCGTCCAATACATGTAACTTTGGATGACAAGATAATGATGTTTGTTTTCAACAACTAAAGAAGTTATGTCCGATTTATGTCTTGTCTCCTTGCCACGACACTAATGAGTATTGCGATACTGGTACTACAGTGCTTTGCATCAGCCCCCTGTATAAGTTGACATGTTATGTGGTACAGTACAACCTGTAGCTCATGACCAAACAAGGACTGTTGTAAATTAGGCACATGTTGAATGCTGTGCCATAGCCATAACAGATAGGAAAATACTGCCCTATTGAAACATGGGGTATAGTAGGATGAATGGCTATCAAATAAGTCATATTGTACCCACATGGCAAAGTAGACTACGTGTCTATTGCATATTCCAAACAAGCTCTCTAATGTACCTGCAAATGGGGGAGGGGGGGGGGGGGGGGGGGGGGGGGGGGGGGGGTAAATGATACAACACAGTGACTAGGTTTTAAATTAGTCCAGGTGAGTTTACTGTCTGGCATGACACACAGTAAACTCAGTGTTGACACTGTATGACACCGAACTGTCAAGAAAGCTTCCTTCCTTGAATCCCCCTGGAAAATCCGATTACAATGCACAATGGTGTCAGTCAACTAACTAGACCAAAGATCATCTCAGGCTAATCTCTCGTGGACAGTGTAAACATATTTACGCGAAACTTTTGTTCTGAGTTAACAGATAATACTCTTTGGTTAGCATCCAGCGTGAACAAATTAAATGTGTAAATTGTATTTAATAGTTAGCTAGCTAGGTCAATGTCAATGAAGCCAGTACGTACCGAGGGCTCCGGCGGCCTGCTCTAGAACTTTGTCCAGTTTCTGTCTGCTTCTCCCAGCCACAGCCCATGTCAGCGACCCATTCGGCCCCTCCGATACGGTCCTGGCCACCTCTTCAACCACGAACTGCCCGGTGAATCCCGAAGCCCCAAAAATAACAATGTGATAGGGTCTGCTAGAGGAGGTATCCACCTTCGCCATAGTTACAACTAGTTATACTCAGTGAAACACCGACCAACGACGAGAGAGGGTAGGGGAATGAGCGCAACGCTAGGAGCGTGCTCATATAAATGACAGATAGCAAAGCTGTCACTTCCGTAGTCTGATGATGATGCTCGGTCGCCGGACTTTGACCGCACTGATTAAGATATGAAACCTAAACACCGCTGATGCAAATAGTCTGCATGCACAAACAAAGCGTTTTATTGATGTTAGTTTAAATACAGCTTTTTGTATTTCTTATAAAGATGTTATTTGATCTCATTAACGTGTTCAATTAAATAACCAATTGAAACGCTGATATCTGAAAATTAGGTGTGGTTGTAAAAGTTTTGGTTTACAATTGGATGTCTGTGCTGTCAATCTTTATTTTGGATCATCGCTTGATAGTGAGGGAGTTCGATTAATCTCGCCCGGGCGCCCGTGAGGCGTGTTTGCTCCGGCTGAAAGTTGAATGCATTCGATTTGGAACCAGGCTGCCTCCCGGGCGTGAGCCATGTGCGCGCTCTGTCAGACGGAGAAGTCGCCTCAACACAGAGCTTCAACTGAAAAATAATGAATAGACCATTTCAGTTTTGACATAGAAATATGTTGAGTTTGCTCGTATTTCAAGAATTATTCCACAATTATTATCAGATTGTTTTGTACAGATAATTATCAGAGTCATGTTACAAATGCTGGTAAATATCTCACAAAAGTAGTGCACTTGGCCTTTACTAGTCCTGTATTAGTGGACTGATATAGACGTCTTCAGCATGGGCATTTTTTTCTGCACCCCGGTATATTTCTGCACCCCGGTAAATTTCCACCGGTATAATGTCCATTGCTCGTGTTTCTTGGCCCAAGCAAGTCTCTTCTTATTATTGGTGTCCTTTAGTAGTGGCTTCTTGCAGCAATTCGACCATGAAGGCCTGATTCACACAGTCTCCTCTGAACAGTTGATGTTGAGATGTGTCTGTTACTTTAACTCTGTGAAGCATTTATTTAGGCTGCAATTTCTGAGGCTGGTAACTCTAATTAACTTATCCTCTGCAGCAGAGGTAACTCTGGGTCTAACATTCCTGTGGCGGTCCTCATGAGAGCCAGTTTCATCATAGCGCTTTATGGTTTTTGCGACTGCAGTTCAAGAAACCTTAAAAGTTCTTGAAACTTTTCGTATTGACTGACCTTCATGTCTTAAAAGTAATGATGGACTGTCGTTTCTCTTTGCTTATTTGAGCTGTTCTTGCCATAATATGGACTTGGTCTTTTACCAATTAGGGCTATCTTCTGTATACCACCCCTACCTTGTCACAACACACCTGATTGGCTCAAACGCATTAAGAAATAAACAAATTACACAAATTAACTTTTAACAAGGCACACCTGTTCATTGAAATGCATTCCAGGTGACTACCTCATGAAGCTGGTTGAGAGAATGCCAAGAGTGTGCAAAGCTGTCATCAAGGCAAAGGGTGGCTATTTGAAGAATCTCAAATATAAAATATATTTTGATTTGTTTAACACTTTTTTGGTTACTACATGATTCCATATGTGTTATTTCATAGTTTCGATGTCTTCACTATTATTCTACAATGTAGAAAATAGTAAAAATAAAGAAAAACCCTTGAATGAGTACGTGTTCAAAAACCTTTGACTGGTAGTGTAAGTATTCAGCCCCTTTACTCAGTACTTTGTTGAAGCACCTTTGGCAGCGATTACAGCCTCTAATCTTCTTGGGTGTGATGCTACAAGCTTGGCACACCTGTATTTGGGAAGTTTCTCTCATTCTTCTCTGCAGATCCTCTCATGCTCTGTCAGGTTGGATGGGGATTTTCAGGTCTCTCCAGAGATGTTCGATCGGGTTCAAGTCTGGGCTCTGGCAGGGCCAACATTCAGAGACTTGTCCCGAAGCCACTCCTGCGTTGTCTTGGCTGTGTGCCTAAGGTCGTTGTCCTGTTGGAAGGTGAACCTTCGCCCCAGTCTGAGGTCCTGAGCGCTCTAGAGCAGGTTTTCATCAAGGAGCTCTCTGTACTTTGCTCCGTACATCTTTCCTTCGATCCTGACCAGTCTCCCAGTCCCTGCCGCTGAAAAACATCCCCACAGCATGATGCTGCCACCACCATGCTTCACCGTAGGGATGGTGCCAGGTTTCCTCCAGATGTGACTCTTGGCATTCAGGCCAAAGAGTTAAATCTTGGTTTCATCAGACCAGAGAATCTTGTTTCTCATGATCTGAGAGTCCTTTAGGTGCCGTTTGTCAAACTCCAAGCAGGTTGTCATGTGCCTTTTACTGAGGAGTGGCTTCTGTCTGGCCACTCTACCATAAAGGCCTGATTGGTGGAGTGCTGCAGAGATGGTTGTCCTTCTGGAAGGTTCTCCCATCTCCACAGAGGAACTCTGGAGCTCTGTCAGAGTGACCATCGGGATCTTGGTCACCTCCCTGACCAAGGCCTTTCTCCCCTGATTGCTCAGTTTGACCGGGAGGCCAGCTCTAGGTACCCTTCCCAAGATCTGTGCCTCGACACAATCCTGTCTCGGAGCTCTACGGACAATTCCTTCGACCTCATGGCTTGGTTTTTGCTCTGACATGCATTGACAACTGTGGGACCTTATATAGACAGATGTGTGCCTTTCCAAATCATGTCCAATCAATTGAATTTACCACAGGTGGACTCCAATCAAGTTGTAGAAACATCTCAAGGATAATCAATGGAAACAGGATGCTCCTGAGCTCAATTTCGAGTTTCATAGCAAAGGGTGTGAATACTTATGTAAATTAGGTATTTCGGTTTTTAATTTTTCATTCATTTGCATAAATTACTAAAAACCTGATTTTGCTTTGTCATTATGGGGTATTGTGTGTAGATTGATGAGAAAACAAATATTTAATCAATGTTAGAATAAGGCTGTAACGTAACAAAATGTGGAAAAAGGGAAGGGGTCTGTATACTTTCCGAATACACTGTAAGTCACGGATTGCGTGGAGAAGGACTGCGCGTCCCTGTCGGGCTCAAGGGCTGCCCCCAAACCCCTGTCATGGACCTTGCATATAGCCACGGGGCAGAGGGCAAGAGGTTTGGGTAAAGCCCCATCTGAGACAGTAATTGTACGTTCCATTATTACAGCCTAACAGTCAACATGTCTATCCACTAGCCTCTATAAGGTGAACATGTGGTAGCCTAAGTTACTGGTAGAGCTGAGTCAAATAGCCTATAATGGAGACAATGCCCCTTTTTTGGGATAAAGTATCAAATCATATCAAATCAAATGTTATTGATCACAGACACATATTTAGCGATGTTATTGCGGGTGTAGCAAAATAGTTGTGTTCCTAGCTCCAACAGTGCAGTAGTATCTAACAATTCACAACAATACACAAATCTAAAAGTAAAATAATGGAATTAAGAAAAATATAAATATTAGGACGAGCAATGTCGGGGTGGCATTGACTAAAATACAGTAGAATAGAATACAGTATATACATATGAGATGAGTAAAGCAGTATGTAAACATTATTAAAGTGACTAGTGTAACATTATTAAAGTGGCCAGTGATTCCATGTCTATGTATATTGGGCCGCAGCCTCTAAGGTGCAGGGTTGAGTGACCGGGTGGTAGCCAGCTAGTGATGGCTATTAACAGTCTGATGGCCTTGAGATAGAAGCTGTTTTTCATTCTCTCGGTCCCAGCTTTGATGCACCTGTACTGACCTCGCCTTCTGGATGATAACGGGGTGAGCAGGCCGTGGCTCGGGTGGTTGATGTCCTTGATGATCTTTTCGGCCTTCCTGTGACATCGGGTGCTGTAGGTGTCCTGGAGGGCAGGCAGTGTGCCCCCGGTGATGCGTTGGGCAGACTGCACCACCCTCTGGAGAGCCCTGCGGTTGCGGGCGGTGCAGTGGCCGTACCAGGCGGTGACACAGCCCGACAGGATGATCTCAATTGTGCATCTGTAAAAGTTTGTGAGGGTCGTAGGGGCCAAGCGCTGTTGTGGCTTCATAACCACACTGTCTGTGTGGGTGGACCATTTCAGATTGTCAGTGATGTGTACGCCGAGGAACTTGAAGCTTTCCATCTTCTCCACTTCGGTCCCGTCGATGTGGATAGGGGTGTGCTCCCTCTGCTGTTTCCTGAAGTCCACGATCAGCTCTTTCGTTTTGTTGACGTTGAGGGAGAGGTTATTTTCCTGGCACCACTCCGCCAGGGCCCTCACCCCCTCCCTGTAGGCTGTCTCGCCATTGTTGGTAATCAGGCCTACTACTGTTGTGTCGTCTGCAAACTTGATGATTGAGTTGGAGGCGTGCATGGCCACGCAGTCATGGGTGAACAGGGAGTACAGGAGGGGGCTGATCCTGTGTTGAGGATCTGCGAAGTGGAGGTGTTGTTTCCTACCTTCACCACCTGGGGACGGCCCGTCAGGAAGTCCAGGACCCAGTTGCACAGGGCGGGTTCAGAACCAGGGTATGAGTCCTTCATTCCTCCCATCCTTGAAGACATCACAGATATATGGATAGTGAAAATATATATTACGCTAGGCTACCAACCAAGTCATGTCAGATCAGTGATTATTTCTTTATAGCCTATATAGCCTATCATCATTTATCTAATAGGCCTATTTAGATCAGTTATTATTTCCTTGATTTGCCTCTCCGCCCACAGACACATTTGCATAAAACCCCACTTCATTGTTTATTCCTCCCACAGCCGTTGGATAGGCCTATAATTTACTTTCACTTGGCCACTGTGACGTACAATTAGCCTACAGGTTAGGGTACTCAATCTAGTGGGCCGCTATAGGTTTATAACGGGCTGCAAAATAGCAGTGGTGTAGCGAATTTAGAGCGCAGCTAGACATGGGACACATACACATACACACGCATAGCCCTCGGTCTCCACCAGGATGCCAAGATAATTTGTTTTATTGTGTGTGCTCATGTAGCCTACTAGCCTATAGTCATTAGAAGGATAGTTGCCATAAGGGGTAAATACTCAGGGGTGTGTATTCATGGATGCCAAGGGAAGCCAGGCTTCCAAAAATATTTTACCAATTTAAAAAAATCTAATTGTACAATTTTGTATCTTTCGACTCTCTGTGTTTTCATAATTTTCCGTCAATTCGCAAACGGCTGAATCTCACCGGAGAAATC